CGGCCCAGCGGGTGTGACGGGCTGCTCACGGGGCAGGCGGGCCGGGCCCCAGGACGGGCCGTGCGGATGTGCTTTCTGTAGTGAAGGTGCAGTGTGAGGGCGCACGGCCCGGGCGGCCTCTGCACACGACAGTGGGAGGACCCTGCTCACGGGAGCAGCCGTCTCCCCGGCCAGGTGCGCGGCTGGGGGGAGATGCCGGCGCCGTCATGCAGGTGTTCGCCCTGCGTGGCCCACACCTAAGGGTGTAGTTTAATAAAACGGCCCCTGTCGTTGTTCGCTTTACTGTGTTTCTTTTCTATGAAAGTGAATGTGCTGTCCATTATACTCTTAGGGTTTAATTTAAAGATATAAAACTTTTTATTCTCCTATTCCTGTATTGATTTGTATTATCTGGTAACAGTAGACACTGCAGGAAGGGGGACAGGGTGGAGCCTCGTACCCCGAAATTGAAAGTGTATCATGGGATATGTTAATGAAAAAGAAACTTGTTTAAGTATAGAATACAAAATGTGTATATTTGTATACTTTCACATTGAAAAAGGAAGTTACAGGACCGCGTGAATGGTATAATTCTGTTTGTAGAAAAAGCTTTATATATATGCACTTATGCATGTGTAGGTAGAAAATACCAGAAAGGATTCACAGAAATGGTTACAGCAGTTACTTCTTGGTGGGGAGGGGAAGTGGCAGAAGTAGCCAGAGGATAGATGGAAAACTTTTGGCCTTTGTTTGTTATTATTTGAGGTTCTCTCTGCCTTCCTCCTGTCAGTCTTTCCCTCTGTTTTCTTTCTTTTCTTTTCTTTTTTCTTTTCTTTTCTTTTCTTTTCTTTTCTTTTCTTTTCTTTTCTTTTCTTTTCTTTTTTCTTTTCTTTCCTTTCCTTTCCTTTCCTTTCCTTTCCTTTCCTTTCCTTTCCTTTTGTCTTTCTTTTTCTCTTTGTCTTTCTCTTTCTTTCTGTTTCTTTCTACCTTCCCTCCTTTTCCTTCCTCCCTTCTTCCCTGCCCTCGGCCACCCCCCCTTTTTCTTTTCTTTTCTTTCTTTGTGCTGGGGATGTAACCCAGGGCCTCACAAAGTAAGCACATCCTTTACCAGTGAGCTATACCCCGGGTGCAAGGTTGTTTTTGTTTTTGTTTTTGTTTTTTTCTAAAAATAGTTTATGTTACTTTATAGTACCTTTCATAAAGATTTTAGCTGTCCACATTCATCATCATTTAATGTATATAAAATTGAAGTATGTTTAGAATGCTAGACATGTTCTGTACTCATTTTTTTTTGTGTACATGGCGCTGGAGATTGAACCCAGGGCCTTGTACATGCAAGGCAAGAGCTCTACTACTGAGCCACATCCGCAGCCCCTAGACTCACATTTTTTTGTCCATGGTAAATTGTTTCCTTGAACATTGCCTGACTACTGCGTATGGGTGTCATGGCATTAAACATTAAATGTAAATCGTTAAACATTTTTAGGTTATAGTTTCATAAAACAGACTGTGTTAACTTTATAGTGTGTTTTCTATTGAAATAAATTTTTATGTCATTATAAGCTTAAGATGGGTTTACTCTGAAGATACAAAGTTTCTTTTTTTATTTTTATATTGATTTTTATGACCTGGTAACAAAAAAAGTCTATTCTATTCTATTCTATTCTGTTTATCTGTGGTACTTGGGATCAAACCTAGCACAAGGGCCTTTGCACTGAACTCTATCCACATCTCTCTTTTTTTTCTTTTTATTTTTTTGAGACAGGATCTTGCTAAGTCACTAAATTGCCAAGGCTGGGTTCAACTCATCATTCCTTGCTGTAGCCTCCCAGTGTGCTGGGATTACAGGAATGTGCTGCTACACCTGTCTGTGAATCTACTTTTATAATCAAATTAATCTAGTAGAGCACTAATTAATCTAGTAGAGCACTATGTGGTTAAGTTTTGCTGCTGTTTATTCATGTTCTCTGGTTTAAACTTGGCTTTTAATTTATTCTTTAAGGCCCATCTAATTAATTTGGTATCATAATGGAGTCAAGAAATAACATTATTTTGGTGTTCTTACTTAAGTGCCACTGTATCCTCACTGACTCCTGCCTGCTGCCTCTGTCCACTTCTGATGCAGGTGTGGAGGGGTCTGCCTGCGGGAAGAGGGGCGTCTCTCGTCCTTGTGATCCTTTTTCTGTTTGTGTTGGTGCTCCTCCTTAGGCGCATGCACATCAAAGCGCTGTGCCTTTCTGGGGAGCGGCCTGCTGCTGCCAGCTAATGCTTCCTGCTTCCTGTTGGTAGCTTTCCTTGCTCTGAAGCTTACTCTGTGGAAGTGGATGCGACAGCCTCGCCTTTCATTATTGTTAGGATACTGTGTTCATCCTTATCCTTGCTCCATCTGTCTTTATGTTTAATGTGAGTTTCTCGTAGACGGTGTATAGTGGGTCTTGTTTCCATCCACCCCCTGGTCTGTCTTTTAATTGGTGAACTTAGACTCTTGGCATCTAAAGTGATGAGTGATATAGTTGGGTTAGTGTTGCCGTACTTGTTACTTTCTCTTCATTACTTTAATTATTTAATTTTTTGTTTTCTACTCTTATTTTTTTACCGTTTATGGTTTTAATTAAACATACATGATTTTCTTTTTTCTCTTTTCATGTTTTACTTTTTAAAAATGTTGGCCCTAACCTTTGCAATATGCATGTACAGGTAATCCAAGTATACTTTCACATAATACTGCACTGCTTCTTGGGTAGTAGAAGACCCTTAGAAAGTTGCTGACTTTTATCTCACTTATCTTTAAAATATAATCACCTAATATGTTGTGCTATTATTTTGAATAAGCATCACTTAAGAATTAGAAGTGTTGAAATTGAAAAATTCCTAGAATCAAATGGAAATATAACATACCAGAGACTCTGGGATACAGCAGAGACAGTTAGTTATAAGAAGGGAGTTTATGGCTATAAGTGTCTACATAAAAAAAATCTGAAATTAAAAGAAACCTAAACATGCACCTCAAGGCCATAGAAAAACAAGAACATCCAAAACCAAACCCAACAGAAAGAAAGAAAGATGATCAGAATGAAATTAATGAGATAGAGACTAAAAGAATAATACACAGGATCAGTAAAACAAAGGATTTGTTCTTTGAAAAGATAAACAGATTGATAAGCCAAGCTAACCAAAAGAAAGGGAGAGAAGACCCAATCAGTACAATTAGAGATGAGAAAGGGATGCCACAACAAACATTCAGTGAGAATTCAGTGAGAATTGTGCTGCTACAAACATGTTGTGCATGTATCGCTGTGATACAGTGTGTTTAATTCTTTGGGGAAGGTGCCTAGGAGGGGAATAGCTGGGTCACATGGAATTTCTAGGTTCAGTTGAGGAATCACCACACTGGTTTCCATAGTGATCGTACTTGTTTACAGTACTAACAGTGGAGAATGCCTTTTCCCCCTCAGCCCTGCTAGCATTTGTTCTTACTTGATTTCTTGAGGATGGTCATTCTTCCTTTTTTACCATTTACTATCTTTCCTATCCCCACAGTATGGCTGCCTTTCTGCTCTCTAAGGGTTGTACCTGTTCTCCTTTGCCTTCCTTTCCCCGTTTCCTCTGGGGGCACAGGTTTTGCTCCTGGCCCTGCGTACCTGCATCTGCTCGCTGAGCGACTGCATTCCCTCCACAGCCTCCTTCCGCGTGAGCATTGTGTTCTGTGAAGAAAGGGGCCAGTAATTATGTTGGACTTTCGTAGTTTTCTGTCTCTAGGATCTCGCTTGTACAATTTACGTTCACTCAAAATTCCAGTAATTCATTTAGCAATAGGTATACATTTGTATGTGCTTCTTTGTAGGTTTGTATATATTTTGTTAAAACACAAAGAATGGAAATGTAGTGAGCATCCACAGTTATTCTAGAACCATTATTTTTGTCTGTGCTTGTGAGTTTTGGCCAGATTTAGTAGGGACTCAGTGAACATTCAAGTCACATACTTTGTATCTGCCTTGGCTTATGTTGAAATACATTGGGCAGTGGTGGCCAACCTGTCCGTGCTGCTGCGGGCTGTTTGTTGTCATTGGAAGCTCTAGAAGGTTCACCATCACTAACAGAGGGCATAAAAAAGTTATTTCTGGATGAAGAATAATTACACATACCAGCTGTGTTGTCCTTAGGATATATAACTGTGAAACACATACATTAAAATCTGATTGTTTATATTGCAGACAGTTTTCTACAGACAAACATTTTACCAGATGAGAACTGTAAAATCAGTTAGTGTTCCTCAGGATTATAATATTTATATGCATGAAGTCACACTTTTTAAAGAGTATAATACATGCCATAAAGTGAAACTTACCATTATAATTGGAGCTGGTTATATTTCATAAAGAAATATGTATTAAAGGGTGTGTGTAGTATGGGTAATTCATTGCTTAATTAGGTCATTGAAAGAATAAACCAGAAAAAGATTGAGACTGGGGACTGATGTACCTACCTCAATCATGGCATTACTAATAATATTAGTAAGATGCAGTCTTTCCGAAGAAACCTGCATCTCCATACCCTCAAATGATAGAAGCACTCTGAATCCTTCCTGTCTGCCGGGAAGGGTTCTAGGATCCCTTACAAATACCAGAACCCAGGGTGCTCAGGGACCCTGTGAAATGGGGTAGTATATGGCTAGAACTTAGCCACATCTTCTCAAAGACTATACATTGTTTCTGTTTATAATATGAATACAGTGAACATGCTGTGTGAGTAGTTGTTATCCTGAATTGTTTAGGGATTGGTGTCAAGAGAAAAGTCTGTATGTTTTCAGTATGGGTATAGCTTTTTTCCTGAATATTGGCTCTTGAAAAGGTTTCAGTCCTTGAATGTGAAACCTGAGGGTATGGAGGACCGACTATACACCTGTATATTTTGGATCCCTTTTTAGCTCATGTGATCCTGAAGATTAAATAAAGAGTTAACTAGATGCACCTTCAGAAACTGAAATAGAAATTCTGTTGAACTGCTCTTCCTTCTCTCAGGTATAACATTGAGCCCAGTTTGTACTGCCCGTTTTTCTCCCTCGGAGCATGCATGGAAGGCCTGAACATCCTGTTTAACAAGCTGCTGGGCGTTTCACTGTATGCAGAGCAGCCTGCCAAAGGCGAGGTGTGGTGCGAAGACGTCCGCAAGCTGGTAGGCCTCCCCTGCATGTGCAGCGCGCTACTCTGTCCCTCCGGCTCAGCGACCGAGTCAGTGCAGTTCCACCTCTGAGTTAGCTTCCCCTAATGCAGAGTGCCCACCTTGTTTCTGTTTTGTAAAAAAATCAAGAGGGCCCCTTCTGACTTAGGACATGTGTGAAAAGGATGTAGACATACAGTAACGGAGATAGTTCCCCAAGATAGTTTTTTAGGAGTGTGTTAGAAGACTGAGTCTTCATGTGTGTACCTTTCTGTGCTCTTGAATTTGGTTACTGGAAACTTCGTCATTGTTTCTCATAAACCTGTGGTCCTGAGTATCTCATTAGCTTGCTTCCAAACTCTATTGCTATCTTTTTTTAAAAAAAAATTGTATTTATGTTTTAACATTTTGAGACATGGTCTGCCCGAGTCACTAAGGTGCCTCTTTATTTTGGAGTGAATATCACTTTTCTTCAGAAGATTTTGAGGCGTTCCCAACCCACACAGTTATCCCTGAGGCTTGATCCGTTTTTGCCTGCTCACCGCACTGTGTTTCCTTCACTCTGAGGCCCCGGAAGCTGTGCCGCTGCCCCGGGGCCACCCGTGCGAGGGAGGAAAGGGATGGGGCGGGCCAAGAAGGTCAGGATGGAGGAGTCTCTTCACCACGGTCACCTCCTGAGTTTCTGTGTGTGTATCGCTACCTTCCCAAGGTGAGGGGCATCAAGAGAGTGCAGAGGTGCCGTGGAGGGAAGAGCTAGCAGCAGAAAGTTGAAAGGGAGAGTGCCGAGGAGGAAGAGCTCTCACCTTTGCCAGAAGTGTGGGCGTCCTCAGGCAGCTCACTGCTGTTTCCCAAGTGCTGTGAGTGAGTCCTGGCACCTAGCAGACACCGTGTAGATGTTCATTGAATGAATATACACTTGCAGAAAATTTTAAAGTACAGAGTGAGGGTTCTGTGTGATAGAACCACGCTCAGAAAAAAACAAAAAGCAGCAAGATGGAGACCAGTGATTGTGTATCTCCCCTAAACTGTGGCTCTTTTATAGAGCCTTCTAAATAATTTATGGAAATGACTATGTATAATTGGTTTCCAGCTAAAGCTAAGAGCTACATTCTGTTGTTTTGAGTTCAAGAGTTACTGTGGGCATGGTATGAGGGAAGTAGCTTTGCCCTGATACTGTCCAGCCAGCGCAGAGGTTCTGTCAGGCTTGTGAGCAGCCTCCTGTGCAGAGCTGTGGTCTGGGAGGAGGGGAGCAGGCGGGCCACACGTCCGCACGATGAGGGTCTTCTCTCCTGGACGTGGAAGTCCCAAAGCCAGACTACTGGAGTGATGGAGCAAAGGGAAAGGGAGAGATTGTCCTGGGCTGCTGCGGGTGGAGGAAAGGAAATGGAACGTCTGTATTGTGGTTGTGCATGTGGGCTGTCCGTGTGTTGAGGATGTTCCTAAGCCCAGATTTAGGGTTTCCGGTGGGTTCATTCACCACTGATTTTCGCCTTGTTTTCTAGGCTGTTGTTCATGAATCTGAAGGATTGTTGGGGCACATTTACTGTGACTTTTTCCAGCGAGCAGAAAAACCACATCAGGTGAACTTTTCTTTATAAAATGGTCCATCCAGACGTGATCAGTTTATTTGTACTAACGTGAACTTTATGTATCATTTTTATAGTTCCATAATAGTTAAAAGGCACTAGTAATAGTTTCTTAACCTGTAAGTTTGAAAGTAGGGTATAAATTAAAAATAGTAGATAGAAATGATGTAAATCATAAACCAGCCTCTCAAAAATGCAAGGAGGGAACTGCAGCAGATAGTTTATGTGCCTGCCCGGAAGCATACGGGCAGAGGCATTGGGATTGAAACCCAGTCCTTTCTGTGCTTGACAGCGAATCTAGTTAACGGTGGCAAAGGTATGTCTGCATGGAAACCATACCAAACCTCAGGAGAGCATAACTCCTTAGGTGAAGACAGAGGGTTGATTTCCATTCCTGTAGCCGCATCCCAGCTTTGCCAGCTGATCAGCTTTAACAGTTTCATGCAACTTGATGGGAGATGCCCAGGGTTTAGGTGATCAGTTATAACAGAAATGCACCTAACATTTGAACAGTTTCCAAAACATTTGAACAGTTTCCAAAACATTTTAACAGCTATGAGCTCAGGAAGTGTGGTCAGCTGTCAGCAGTGTGGCAGGGTAGTATTCTGCATTCCTGAGGTGAGGGTGTAAGAGACAGTGCTTTCCAAGGTGATCTGGCTAGCCAGTGTCAGAGGGCAGGGGCAGCGTGCATGTGAGCAGGGTGCCGAGTCCTGCACTCTTCCTCTTCGCCTGAATGGTAACGGAGGCCTCTGGTTAGTGTGTAGCAGCCCCAGCTTATAGCAGTCAGCTGCGTCTGGATTCCAGCTGCAGTGGTTTAGCTGGGTGCCCTTGAACATGGCACTTGACATGTCTCAGACTTGCTGTCAGTGTTTCCTCTGGAGAGGAAGATACGGCCTGGGCTTGTTGTGGGGAGTACGTGATGCAGAAGTGTGCATTCCGTGTGGCTCCTATTCCAGAGTAGAGCGCTCCATCTTCCCAGCTTTAGCCTCAGTCAGGGCCGTTGTCTCCAGCTGATAAAGAAGCAGACCTAGGAAGTGTCTCCTTGTTCACTGTGGGACGTGAGGTAAGGGTTCAACGTGAACGTCAGCGTGCCTGCTCCCAGAGCCTGCTGTGCGTCCTTCCCCACTCCTCGTGAGCGCCTGGAGCGGGAGGACCTGAGCTCGTGGATCGCTTCGTTTCTAGCATCCAGTTCAGCATCAAGTTCAATGCTTGTTGATGAAACAAATGAAGGAATTACTACAAGCTCGGTGCATTATTTAATTTAAAAAGTTAAAACTCTTACAGAACAAAAATGTCTTTCAGAATGTAGGATAATAGTAGGATAAAGTTCAAACTTATTTCAGTAGTTTTAAGACTTTCTTACTCTAGATTGCATAACACTTTCATCTCCTTGTGTGTTTCTCATTCTCGAAGGACTGCCACTTTACAATTCGAGGAGGCCGATTAAAGGCAGACGGAGAATATCAGCTCCCAGTTGTAGTTCTTATGCTGAATATTCCCCATTCCTCAAGGAACTCACCCACGTTATTAACTCCGGGGATGATGGAAAATCTTTTCCATGAGATGGGACACGCCATGCACTCCATGCTGGGACGAACTCGGTACCAGCATGTCACTGGTGAGCCGTGGAGAGAGCTTTTACTGAACAGAACCCTTTAAACACATTAACTTTTTAAGCTGGAAGCAGGTCTGCTATGTGGACAGTCTGACGTTTGCTAATGTGCTGTGGCTTTCCGTCTCACAGTGCCCCCGCTGGTGGTCCTTCTGTGCCCTTTCTGTCCTTGCTGACGACTGTAGCCAGGGAATAAGTCTCCGGTGTCTGTATTTTGAGTTTGTGCCTTTTTGTGTTTTGTAGTATTTTGTTTGGAACTGAAGTTTGTGGCTCTGTGTGTGTAAGTAACTATGTGTCTCTGTGTTTACTACAGTTTGTGAGTGCAGAAGTAAATAAATGTTGCTCCTTTACCCTGAAATAAAACTTCACCTGTTTTGTTTAAAAAACCAATTAAGGATATGTTAAATATATGATACAGTACTTTGTAAATTTTTCTTATCCTGTCCGTTGTCTAAAATTACAATTCTGCTTTAACTTTTTATGTTGGTATGTGTCCATGTTGATGACATTCCAACTTTCCTCTTAGTCGTCTATGTCTTAAGCTCACTGTCCTAAGTGGTCGGCATTTGACCACGTGGTAAATGGCTGCTTCCGTTACTTATTAACTAACTTTACACACTCAACATTTGGGCAAAGCAAAGGTATTTATTTGAAAAGACTTCAGGTGCGCTGCACAGAGTTATAAAATGTCACCACAAAATTCTTACTGGATTTGTTGCTTTAAATAATTTTGAGTTTAAAAATACTGATTTTCTTCACTGAGGATTGGTGTTAATATAAAACATAGTGATAGGTAAGAGTAACTTTAAAAGAAATGAAGGAGAAAAACCTCAATAATGGAATTCAGTGAATTAAATGTAAGTGCTGTATTAGTTATGAGTGTTTTAATTTGCGTTTCATCTGTAGCCAGCATAGCAGAGGACAGATTTGTTTGTGGAGAGTGTGAGCCCTTGCTTTATAAGGTGTTTCAGCAGCTGTGCAAATATTATGTTTTACTTTTGATATGAAGAAAAATATATAGGATTATTATAAACTTTTCTGCAAATATGTACAATAATTTTATATAAATAAAATACTGATTTAATGAATTAAAGCTTATCATAGTTCATCAGAAGTACAAATAAAAGTTTTAAAGGTGTACTTAAAAAGGAAAATAAGTATGTAGCTTTTTGACTCATACTAAATTTTATTCTTTTTTCCTCATCTTAGGGACCAGGTGCCCCACGGATTTTGCGGAGGTTCCGTCTATTCTGATGGAGTACTTCTCAAATGATTATCGAGTGGTTAGCCAATTCGCCCGACATTATGAGACTGGACAGGTAGAAGCCACTAACACATGTTGAGCATCCCTAATTCAAAAGTTCAAAATCCAAATTGTGCCAAAATCCAAAACTTCTCAAGTATTGACGCGATGTTACAACTGGAAATGTCACACCTGGCCTCATGGGACAGGTCACGGTGACAACACAGGTGCACTAAAATACCACATGAAACTGCATCTAGGCTCTGCATGTGGGGCGGCGTGCCTGGGAAACGTAACTGAATTTTGTGTTCAGACTTCAGTCATGTCCCCTAGATATTTCGTCTCTATGCAGGTGTCTGCAAATCTGAAAAAATTCAAAATCTGAGATTTCTGCTTGCGAGCATTTGCATAGGGGATACTCAGTTGATACTGCTGTATTTTCCTTTGGGTTGTGACCTTTGGGTTTTGTGACTTGTCGGATAATATGGAACACGTGGTGCTTTTTCAGAATTCCGGTCCCCCTCTTGCAGAAGCAGCTTTCCTTTTACTGTTTGCCCCTCCCCGCTTCCCTACCCCACTGTAGCATCCTGGTCCCAGCACGTGCACAGGTGTGAGGAGTGAGCTGCCCTCTGTGATTTGCCAAGTAATCCACCACTTACTCTCCGTCGCCGCCCCAGGAGGCAGGCACTGTGTCCGTGCCAGTCCTAGTTCAAGGAGCATCTGCTTCTGCATGTTGGGTCCCTTGGCCTGAGTTTTTATCCTCTGCCTGTTTCCTCAGCATTCTTAGCTTCTCAAGTGTTGGTCTGAGGCTAAATCTGAAAAGGCCTTAATTTGGAGGCTTAGATTTCGATGATGCATTATAATTTCAAAGATTTTTAAATTAACATGAAAGATACCTTGGTTTAAGTTAGCCGTATGTATAACTGCCTACATTGGACAGTTGACTATCCACGTGTGCTGGAAATACATTCTTTCCTTTCTCTCCCTGTTTCATGGGTGAATTACATTCATTACTGGGTATCTAGGCCCTGTACTCTTGACTAGTACAAAAGATGAGCTAAAACTCAAAATTAAATGAAGGCAGGAACTGAATTAGAAAAAAGAGGCCTCAAGCCACTTTCATTTGTGACTTTTTCTGCTTATGTCTCCAGATGATTTGGTCGTTTCTTGTTTATGGATTTGATTCTGTTACTGTCAATTGTAGAATCTTGGATGTGTGTCTGGGTACCTAATTCACATAAGTTTCCATTATAATCTATTTCAGTTATTAAGATGACAGAGTGGAAATATTTGATTTAATGGACTACTTGTCCATCAACCTGCAAAGAATTGCTTTGGGGATTACGTGGACATGGCCAGTAGCATGGACTCGTACAGCCCACCAGATAATAGCACCACTCTTCTGTAGCCACACACTTACGGGGTGCAGGAGTGACTAGCAGTTTCCTAATTGCTCCCTGCATTGGGCCCGTTGGAGCACAGCCAGTGCGCCGTGTGCAGGGCTGTGGGAGAGCCCAGCCCAGGCTGTCTGGGCTCTGGGAGAGGCTAGAGAGACGGGGTGCTGGGAGAATGGGGGCCTGGAAAAGTATGTGGATGGGGCAGTTTGCCAGTCAGCTCTTGACAGCTCTTACCCACTTCATTAAAGGATATTTGTTAAGGACGGTAATGAGGACGTAGAGGTACTCAGTCAGGTATTTGTTGAGTTCTTGTTATGGACTAGTCACTATTCTCTGCATTGGAGAGACAACCACAGATAAGTCAGTGTTATGATTTAGATCTAAAATGCTCCCCAGACGTCTGTGGTTGGAGGTGGGGCCTGGGTGGAGGAGCTGTCACTGGGGGGATGACCTGGAAGGTATATTTTTGTCCCCGGCTCTTCCCTTTCCTCTGTGCGTCTGGCCATCATGGGATGAGCAGCTCTCCTCTGCTAGGCCCTCCCACCATGCTGGTTCTGCCTTGGAGCCAGCTGACCATGGACTGAACCCTCTGAAAACTACAGGCCAAAATAACCCTCCCCTCCTCTAACTTGTGGGTGTCAGTTATTTTGTCCTACAGCGGTAAGGGGACTAATAGCATCCCAGGGCTCACCTTTAACTGTTAGGGAAACTAAGGCCGAGTCAAAGCTGAATTCTCCATCAGAAGGAAGATCACGTGAAGGCCTGGAGAAGTCCGCACGGGGTCTTGTGAGGGCCTGTGAGGGCAGTGGGTGTGAGCAGAGGAGACGTGAGAGAGAGAGAAGCAGCTGGAAAAAGGCTGGGTAGAGGGCAGGGTCAGGTGGTGAGGGGCTGTGGATCATGAACAGCACTGTGCCCTGATGCGGGGGAGGTCATTAAAGAGTTTGAAGCATCGACCTTTTTTTTGGAAATGACCCTCATGTCTGGAAATCATGTGGAGTGGAAAGTGGTAAGTTGGAGTCAAAGATGTGCTTTTGGTACCAGTGAGCAATATACTCCCTGAGCAGGGCTGGGGCAAGTGGAGGGCAAGACCCCACCCGAGCCGCACTCACCCCTGCCCTGGGATGCAGCGCTGGTCTCAGCCTGGCTCGCCCGGAGCTGTCGTACCGCTGCTCTGCCGAGCCCGTGCCTGTCCCAGGTGGGGCGCCCTTATGTACCCTCGCCCCAGCACCTTCTAACCCCACTCGCAGTCGTTGCCCCGCACCCAGTTCCTCAGCGTGGTTCCCCTTGGGCCTCTTGCTCTGGCGCACCGCCTCATCAGTTTCTGTTCAGGTTTGTGGGCCAGCATCCTGGCTGCCAGCAGGGCCTTGCCCGTCCCTCAGCAGGGCTCCAGGAGGGGCTCATAGACATGCACCAAGGTAGCACAAGATGGGCAGGGGGACTTGAGGCCACTGGGGGTAGCAGGGCGGGGCGCGAGTCAGGTAGAGACTGCACGTCAGAGCCTGTGGACGAGGGTCCGTTTGGAGAGTGCAGTGGAGCTCTTGTTTTGGGTTATTAGCGAGCATCTCTGCGGTCCAGGATGCCATTAGTGACCCAATCCGAGCTGTAGGCGTCGAGTAGACACTGCAGATAGATGGGAAAGCGTGATTAAGTACAGGGAGTTCAGAAATTGTCCGTGAGAGAAAAGCAGGAGATGGCTAAAGAGGCCTGCAAACACAGCTGTGGGGAGCACACGCGTACAAGAGTAACTGCAGCAGGACCCCTGTTTTTAAGTAAAACCTTGGCCTGAAATTCAGTGATGCCAACGTCAGTTCTGAAACATCCCCAGCTCCTTTTAGAGCAAGCAGAGGACCGCAGCGTGACCTGCCTGAGACCGAGCAGGAGGGAGCGTCTTGCTGCCTGTGTGCCCGCAGAGTTCTTCAGTAAGGACGGCGACTTGGGGCTAGACACCTGAGGAAAGAACCCAAAACACGTCCCAGGGTAGAGAGTTGGGAAGAGAGCTTAAGCTGCTCCACATTTATTCAGCTTTCAGACTCAAAAGTCACGTCCAGTGCCCTTAGGGACTTGCAGCCATAGTCTCTGAAGAATTTTAAGCGATTTTGTGATTTCACAGAGAAGGCAGGAGAGCTCTAAACTTCACAGGGGGTTTGCTTCTTCCTGTCTCTAATTAATACACCAACGGGCTTGCTTTTCTAAGGGCAGCCTTAGCCTTAAAGATAAGGAGGTTATTCCCTAAAATCCAAGTCTTTGTGAGGTAATGATATTTAAGCCCATCGTGAAGTGTATTCCAGAGAGCTCAGAGGGCACGCTAGTTCAGCAGTTCACTCACACCCGCGAGCATACGACCTGAACTGCCGCAGAGGGTAGCCAGTAGACTCCTTGTGGTGGAAGAATGAGAAGTATGCTTATCAGATTTGCAGGTACTGTGCAGATAACAGAGTTAACAAATAGCAGAGGTGCTCATTTGAGATTCAAAACTGTCCCAGCAGACTACATCAAAGCTGAAGTCTTTTTACTGCAACATCAGAGCTCAAGTAGAATTTATTATAAATTCATCATAAAATCGCTGGCCTGACTGCAGAAAGGGCAGGGCACACACTGGCTAGCAGTTAGGTTTTTAGACATCGTGAACTTAACCCGGAGCAGCAGTCTGGTGGTGTTTCCCCTCAGGTCTGGTCTTGTCTGAGGCTGTCCTAGAGGACTTGTGCCGTCTAAGGGCCTACTGAGGCATTGTCTCTTTCCTTAGCACTGATTGGTTCCAACCTGCAGGCCTTTCCAGCTGCCCGAGTGAGCATAGCATTGTGTGTAGGCATCCCACAGTTTTGGACGAATGCCTAAACCTGTTCAGCCACTTACCAGTCTCATTATTTAAATACAGGATGATCAAAAATCACATTCATTTTTTGTTAATTTTTATAAGATAACAGGAAATATAAAAATAGTCATTTTATCAAAGTTATTCAGTACAAGAATCAACTGGTTGAAATGACACCTGTCTGAGCAATGTTGGAATAGTCAGTACGTAAATAAACATGCTGCCTGCATGATGCTCGGGGCAGACTGGTTTTTTTTTTTTTTTTCCGGTACCGGGAATCAAACTCACGACCTTGCGCTTGCCAGGCAGGCGCTGTGCCGCTGAGCTAAATCCCCAGCCCCTGGGTAGACTGTTAAGTGGCTATTGTGCAGGGTTTTTTCCTGAAACTGGGATTGCCTGTCAGTTACCTATTTCTATTTAATGGCCTGGTGTTCCTCCACCCCAAATCTGTTACAAAATCATAGGTGCTCTTTGGATTCTTGGACACAAGGAGACAAGGTGATGTTAGCGCTGTACCCAACATTGAAAATGGGAAGTAGCTCCATTGTGCAGCCCTGAAGCCTGGCCTTGGCCCTCCCCCTAACCTCGACCCCCTAACCATGTAGGTACCCAGAGTTTCCTTCTACATTTTCTCACTGCCACCACATAGTGATTCCTGAATGGCGGGATCTTTTTGTCCCTTCTCTAGATTTGGGATCTTTTCATGCCAGATTTTAGCTAACTTTCTGAAAATGAGCCAGAGTCCAATACTTCTACCTTTCCCTGCTTTGTTTTGCTTGCTCACTTGCTTGCTTCTTTTTTTTGGTCTTTTCAGACAGGGTGTTCACTGTGCTGTTCAGGCTAGCCTTGAAGTTACTTTGTAGTCCA